ACCGTATTACATCGGGGATGGAGAATTTTCTCGAATAGAATTTCTTGACAAAGATAACTTCTATTGGGGAGTATGGAAATCCTTAAATAAGAATAATTCTACTCAGACCACACTGTGGATGACACAGCTGGGGGTAAAAAAGTCTTCATTTGGGGAAGAAATAAACATCCTGGGACAGAAACTCCATTGGGTATATTTCAACAGAATCTTCTATCAACTGGGGTGAAAGAGTTATGACTGGCACTCCTATGCACACCACACTGGGGAGACAGGACACTTGCTCCACTCGGGAAAGAAGAATAGCTCCACTGGGGAATATTAGGTACCTTGCTTCGACAGGTTCTCGAAATTCTACTTCGACTGGGGATAAAGACTACGTCTTACATCGGGGAGCCAAAATACTTATATGGTAACATCAACAATATCCATTGCACTAGGTATAGCCATCCCTGCAAGATTAAAGCTGGAAAGAACTTTGTACTGGGAGCAGAAATCACTTTATTGCTGATGATGGTCATCCTCATGAGGATAACAAACTAGAACATCCCATAGGCAAACATGAGTCTCTTTGAGAACTCTGATATAGGAAAACCACATTGGAGAGAGAGAGAGTGCACACCTCACTGAGTAGGATAATACATACTTCATAGGGAGAATAAATGCGAACCTTACTGGGGAAACTGTAGAAAGTCGACTTCAAGGGGAGTATATCAAGAGTCTCTGATTGGTGAATAAAAATGATTCTTTCGATAATACCTGGAATGAAATAGGCCGCACTGAGAATGAGGGATACTCGGGGCGAAAGTACGCTTTTACTGGGGAAAATACCTCAAAAATAAATTGCAGTTCACAGGAAATTTTGAACTCTGATCCAAATCCCAACTTCCTTGGGAAAAATCAAACATCTCTTTCCAATGATAAAGAGAATCTCGATGGAATATGGGATCTTCTGATGTAAATCCTCAATAAAAGTGACTTCGACTAGGGGATAACAGAAATTCTTGAATAAAAGCATTTTACCCAAGACACACGTGGAATACCATCATTGAGGGTAACAATCTATACTTGAAGATGAGAAGGGTGCCTTTGAACCATAAGCTTTGAGGTTCCGAACTCCGCCGAGGAAATATTCAGCAATACTCTATCACTAGGGATAAAATAACCCTAAATGGAATTTGTCTATGCATAACACTTCAGAAAAATAGGAGAATTTCTCCATTGGGCAGAACAAACATGTTAATCAAACCTCTATTCAAGAAAACCTGACTTAGGAAAAACATCCATGAGGAGAAAAGATACGAACTTCATAGAGACGATGAATGACAACCTCACGAGGGGGATAAATGCCAACCAAGGAAACGCAAGGTATCGACTTCAAGAGGATATAACAAAGGTATCAAGTCCAAAGAAGCAATCCTTCCCAGATTCTTCCAAGCAAAGTAGACTACGCTGAAGAAGAAGATTACACTAGACCTGTTGGAATGCATTTCTTCGGAGATAAGCCATTTAGAAGGGACAAACTCTTAACCAAACTCTTATCAAGAGTGCAGAATTCAATGGGGATTACACATGGATATACTTACGCTGTGTGGTGTCATGAAGAACTAATTGACTTTAGAACCTTTACTTAACCAACTTGGCCATTAGGAAGTAGTGAGATAGCCAGCTTTGGTGCAGTCTGAAGTTGGTTGATACTCGATATTACGCTCATTAAGATCAGGCTTCTCTGTATATTTTGGTCGCCATTAAAGAGGCTTGCGCTGAAACAATGTCCGACGAGAAAGATTGGTGATATTGAGATCCATTAGAACCCGGTACTATTACTATGACAGGTTTGAGCCAACTAAACTTCAAGATGGTACTTACCTATAAGACTCTATACAAGCCTAAACCTAAGAACTTGTTTGCCTTGTGTGTATATGCTTACTTGTACATAAAATCATAAATATCATAACATCATAAAACATTCTCACTAACCATTTCAAGGAATTTTGGGATTTATCTTTGTTTTGTTTTGTAGGCCATGGATTCCATCCACAGGAATACTATCCAAGTCAATCTCGTAAGAATTCCTTCTCAACTCAAAGAGTTAGCATCAAGGGTCCTTGAGAATTATTCATTCACCGAAAGACATGGTCGCCTCCTAAACTTGGTCACCTCTAGCACTAATGAAGATATGATGAAGGTGCTTTTCCAGTTCTTTGATCCTCTACACCATTGCTTCACTTTTCCCGATTATTAGCTTATCTACTATGGAGGAATCCTCTCAACTCTTGAGGATTCCAATTCTTAATCAACTACATTTCAATGGTACAAAAAGAGATCCTTGACCTGAAGATATTTCCCGAGCGTTACACTTGCAACAATTGGATATCACGACTAATTGGGAAACAAGGAGTAGTGTCAAAGGGTTCCCAGCCAAGTTCTTGTTTGAAAAAGCTCAAGATTGTTGTATCTCTTTGGATTTAAAATCTTTTGAAGAAATCTTGGCCCTTCTCATCTATGGCATGGTTTTGTTTCCAAACCCTGACCAACTCATAGATGTAAATGCTATCAAAATCTTCATATCTCACAATCCGGTGCCTACTTTGTTAGGGGATATCCTACATTCTCTCCACTCTCGCACTATGAGGAAGAGAGGGGCCATCATGTGTTGCACAACTCTCTTAGCTAGATGGTTTATTTCGCATCTTCCTCGGTCTGTGTTAAAGTATGAGCAAGGTTTGAGGTGGTCCCATAGGTTAATGACGCTCAGACATTCGTATATTCATTGGTGTTCTCGATCCTTAGAGAATATTACTATCATCGACCGTCGTGGGGAATTCCCTAATGTCTATTTTCTTGGCATTAAGGGAGGTATAAATTACAACCATTCCTTAGCATTACGACTGTTTTGGTACTCCCGAAGTGATGGTCCTCATGATATGCTCATCCAAGGAGTGGTATTCGACTACGAGAGCGACGATCAAGGCTGCCGTCAGAGGTTTATACGAGCTTGGAGGATGGTAACAAAGTGGATAGTAAGACGTTGGGACAAAATAATTCTATTCCACTTGAACCTTATCTTAGGTGGGTACGAGCTTGTGCTCAGAAGCTTGTGATGCCTTATCCCTCCATCTTACCAATTATCATGGAGCCTATGGTTGAAGGAGATGTCTCGTACAATGTCCTTCATCCTGACATGCCTACTTTTCTTGAAGACTTGCAAAGGGGTTGGATTCAGATAAAGGAAGAACGAGATACCTTTGAAGCTCAATTCTATGCTAGTGAGAAAATGGTTTTGGAACTTACAAAGCAGTTACATGAAGAACAAAGCGTGAATGCCTACCTTGCGCCAAAGAGGATACATTCGACATTTTTATCTTAGAGATTTATTTTGTAAGCCCAAGAGGCATGTTGTAGTCATTTTTGAACTAATTAATGAAATTTGACGTTTCCTCATTCTTTGTCTATAGAAATTTAAATTTCATAAATCCTTGAAATCATTTGCATACACATCTTCCATGCATCATAACATAACAAGTTTTCCATGACAGATTTTCTTATCTCTCTGCTGTTTATTTCAGTAAGATGGATATCGAGAAAATAGTGAAATACCTACAAGCACAAAACTCCCAGTTTCAAGAGACTCTGCTGACCCTAGCCAAGGGGCAACAAGATTTGATGGCGTTGCTGGAAGCCAAAAAGAAACCAAATAGGAAAGCCTTAGTCAACATGGGTAGAAGGTTCAGAGAGCCGGTCTGTCAGATACCGGTAGTGGAATACTCGTCTGAGGAAGATGAGAATCAGATTGGAGAAGCAAGGAGTACCCAGGCTAGGTGTATCAATGATCATGCGTCTGATGATGAAGATTATTTTGACGAGCAGTATCCTCCAACCGATGTTAAGTACAAGCAGCTAGAAGACAGACTGAAGGCTGTTGAGATTCAAGTCGTCCCCGATTTGGATTTTGATGATTTGGGTTTAATATATGGGGTTGTCATCCCCCACAAATTCAAGATACCATTATTCGCTAAGTATGATGGGGTTTCCTGCCCAAAGCTTCAGCTAAAGTCTTATGTGCGCAAAATTCAACCGCACACCGCTGAAAAGAAACTCTAGGTTCAATTATTTCAAGAAAGCTTGGCTGGGACACAACTAGAGTAGTTTTACCAATTGGATGGTTCCCGTATCCATATATGGGAAGACTTACACTACGCCAAAAATGATTTTTTGTATCACCTAATTTAATAGCACTTTTAAAAGAAATGCTATTAAAATGGAAAAAACACATTTATAATAGCACTTTTTAATCGGGCGCTATTATATAATACAGACTATGTAATTATAATAGCACTTTGTACCAGAACGCTATTATTAAACTTCTTTAAGATAGCACTTTGTATAAAACGCTATTATTTGACTACCTATATAATAGCATTTATTAAAAAGCGCTATCTTATATATAATAATGAATTAATTAATTAATTGATAAAAAAAAAGTTATTTCCATTACAAACCGAAACAAAATAAAAAAACACAGGAAGGAGATTCCAAATCCATTACTTGACTGGCCTCCGACGACACGCCGGCGACCGCGACGACAACTCAACTGCTTCTGCAACAGCACAATATCGACGCACTCCGGCCCCCTGTAGCTCACTGGCAGCCACCACTGGGCGTTCGACTCCGACCTCCATCTCCAGCCACTCTCGGTTTTGCTTGCAGGTAAGGAATTTTTTTCCTCTATTTTCTTGATTTGTTGTGATTGTTGTTGGAGAACTTAAATGCTTGATTTGAATCTTGGATTTCTATTTTGTTGTTGTTCTTATTTTAAGAGAAAGATTGATTTTGTTTTGGGGTTGAAATGGATGAGAGATAGAAACCTTACCACCACCATAGAGTAAAAACCTTACCACCACCACCACCAATCACAACAAATCTCAAGATGTGTGCATTATAATTTGTTAAGTAGGTGACCAAACCTTACCACCACCATAGAGTAAAAACCTACCAAAGCATCAAGGTGACCAAAAGTTACCACCACCACAGAGTAAAAACCTACCAGATTCAATTCTACTTCTTAGCATCACCCTGTCAATCAACAAGCTCTCAGCTGATGATTGGAAACTATAGTCACACATGTCACCATAACTTGATCTCATACTTGGCAACTTTGAAACACTTTTTTCAAACTTTTTTATGTATTGTTGGATATCTTGTTGAGCTGTAGTGCCTTCAGATGGTTTCTGTGCAAAGGAGAAGCAGTGTTTAGAGTCAGTTTCTTTGCTATCAGCAGTTGAGCTGACTTGTTCATGGATAGCTTCCTCGGAATCAATGCTGGCTGGTGGCTGCATTGTGTCATAATGGATATGGTGTGATTGTTCTTGAGTGCCGGATTGCTGCAAAAATGTAAAACATATAGATTATGCAAGAAAAGAATAAAAAGATGCACTTGTTAAGTAGAAAGTAAATTACTGACGAAATTTGAAGGCGGAGTATTTGGACTTGCCTCGGTTAAACGAGATGGAGTAGGTGGACCAACCATACTGAGCGGAGGATCCTATTGAGATGAAAAGTCCGAACTATCGAATGTTGATAGTGATACACACTCGTCAAAATAAGCCTTGGCATCTTCTGCAAGACGTTTCGACATCCTTTTTCTTTCAATGCTAGACTGTAACTGTGTTTTGGATTCATCAATAATGGGATAGAAACATCTAATGTAACATGTGGAGTAAATGTAATGTGAAAGGAACCTACTTTTCTTGATGGACGAGACTTTGGTATATTAGGAGTCTTGGGATATGGAAGAACTTCTCTCAAGATTCTATCCAGTTCTCTCACTCGATGTTCTTCAACTGCCAGATCTGCTCTAAGACGTCTAGCTCGCTCTTTGGCCTGTAAATATGACAAGTTCTGCTCAATATAAAAGAACGAGACGTTAACCATACTTCATCTTCAAGTATAAATGGGAATACTACCTCTTCAAGCTTTTTGGTATACTCTCTTCTAGTCTCCAATGCTAATTCTATTGTACCAGGGCTTAGCAAGTCAGGATGAATATCAGCCATATCGGTGACAGTAACGGCTGTAGCGTTACTCACTTGAATAGCCTAAAATTCCCGAAACAAGAAGCAAGTTAGAGAATAGCATAGGATGAATCACAGTTAGTTATATCAATAGGCAGTTAACTTCAAGCTGGCAAGGAGAAAGTTATAGTCTCATGAAACTTACACTTTCGAGGTCAATCTGAATCTCAGAAATAGCCCGCCTAACTTCAGAACGAACTGTTTCATATATATCACTGCCTCCTAGCTGATCCCTTTGTACTGACTGCACAAGTCAAAACAGGGCGACTTTATACAAAAAAGTCAATTTCAAGCATACGTAGATAAGAGTAGGACTACAACAAAGAGTAAAAGATTTCCTATAGAAATACAACCTACATTTTGTACACAAACCGCTTTGATAGTTTTCTCATCACAACCAAATTTCCTGTCGCCATTTTGCACCAGTTTAACTTTTTCCTGCACATTACCAAAACTGTTTTTGTTCCACTCTTTTAGGTTAGCTTTAAGAATCCTCAGATTTTTGTCTAAAACATACACGGGACAGCCATACACTTTGGAATGCCAAGTTTGAGAAACGAGATTCAAGCAATCTTTGTGAAGGGTCCACATATTCATGAATTTAAAATTAGATGTGACTTTAGGATCATTATACTCGAAGTTTAGAAGCAGGGGATAGTGATCAGACTTGTTTTTGACAAGAGTATGGCAGGATGTTGAGGAGCAAGTATCGATCCAATGGAAATTACAGACAGCTCTATCGAGCCTTTTCTCAGAATGCTTACGGCCCAGGGGTGCTTACTTGGCCACTCTTAACAAAACAGTAGGGGTGATATTAGACTTACAAAAGCACCATAAGTTAGGCAAAAGATCATGCGTATAATTCATGGCAAATAGCTTAAGGTTGAGCTTCTTAAGCCAAGTTTGAAGGAATTTAGAAAAGTCCATCCAAGGTTCTGCTACCAAAACCAAGTCTAGATTGTTAATAGAAATTAATCTTTTGAGAGCAAGTCTGGAAGAGGCATTTGCAATTCCTCTAATATTCCAGAATATGCACTTCATGAGAAAGGATTAGATGTACTAGGTTTATCCCTAGTTAATTTCTTCTTCTTGGATTTTTTCGAATTCCTTTTTGAACTAACAAGTTTGAAGCCATCTGTTTCCAAACTCACCTCCTAAGCAGCCATATTCGCCCATGATTCAGATAAAAAAATTTGTATGTTGCTGTCATTTCCTTGCAGATTGGGTTGTGTCTCTTCCACTCTTAATTTATTAATAAACAAACTATTTTGGGCTTTTGGGTTATGCGCAATAGCCCGACTTATACACCCTCAAAGACGGTTCTTTTTATTGGCATTTTATTTTCATAAGAAGTGCTTATAGATAAACAAGTGATGATAGAACCTACACTTGACATCCATTCAGTGACTTCTTTGATACCACGATGCTGAGAAAGTGCAGACTTGTTGGTGTGGCAACAGTTGAACCTATTGATGATTTCATTATGAATTCTTTCCTTGGTCTACCAACTGAGTGTCTTGCTGAATTAAATGCTGTCATCTTCATTTCTTCTACATCATAAGAGTTGAGGTTTCATTGCAAAACTAAATACAAGAAGATTAAAAAAACATAAGACAATAATGAGTTGTATTATACTAAGATAGGAATATGTATACCTAGAGACATGACTTCTTATTCATGGTGACAGAATACTCAATATCTTCTTTACTGTTTCCAAGTTGCAAAATGTACCTATTTTCTTTGCCAGCCATAAAATTTACTTCAATTTTCTTAAAAGGTTTTGCTATTCTAAGAGTACAGGTTAAGAATATTATAATTAGAAAACATTAAGTAAAAAAGTATTTCTACAAATAATTAATTAGTCTGTGCCCTTAAAAGATGGATAGTTTTCTTAATAATGGTTGGTTATGATTTCTACAAATAATTAAGTAATCATATAATATTATATTCTAATGATTTCATATTTCTTTAAGACTATAATTAATATTTATATTTTATATATGACATACTGTGTTTTTATCCTGAGATAGTAGAATATAAGTCGACTTGGTTGATTATTTTTCAAGCGTAAAATTTAGTCTTCTAAGTCCACCTGAGCCGGATAACAATCAGGTCTAGATTTTAGAAAGTAGGAAACTAGCCAATGTACCAAACTCAATCCTCCACTTGTAACAATGCAACTAGTGCAAAGGCATTTCATTACCCTACATTCTATAACACTTCTCTTGTACATTTTTGGACACCAACACCAAGGTTATAATGAAATTATAAAATCTTCCTATTTCAAATTGTAATACCATTTTATCAACATAAGATGAGGTCTTGTACACCAAAATTGCCATAAAACATTAATTACATTTCCTTTTCTTTTCTTTCTTTTTGGTTGTTTCTCTTTGTTGTGTGATATCTTCTAAACAAAACCAGTATCCCCTTCTGCATTCTCCAAGCCAGAAAATCTTCCAGCTCCATGTCTCATGTATTGCTATTTGGTATAACAGTAATTACTAACAAGACCTTCATAATAAATTTATTCAAATGCAAGCCTTTGAGTGCCAACCAGTGAAGCATACTGGCCCTTTTTAGCCAACAGCTCAAAATGAGTGCCTAGTTCCGCAACCCTCCCACCTGAACAGAGTGCAATTTGATAAGCATTTTGAACTGTGCTTAACCTGTGAGCTATGACTAATGTTGTCCTCCCCTTCATCAAATGGTTGAGAGCATCTTGAACCAAGCGTTCACTGACGGTATCCAGAGCACTTGTAGCCTGCAGAAGCAAATAATATCAAAATGGATACAGCTTATATGGATTCAGTCAGTGTTGTCAAGTACCAACTATAACAGTGCTATACCGCTGTAGTGTAGGGGAGTTTTTAACAAACCTTCTGCAATACACAATTTAGTACAACAATTTAGTACGTGTTGTTAAATAACAACTATAGCACTGTAATCTAGTGGAATTTGAAGAAACGACTTTTCTTTGTGATCTGCTATAGACAACACTGGCTGCAAAACTAATCCACCGGTGTAGCAAGTTTCTGGTATAGCAAGTTTCTCACGCAACTCCACCGGTGTAGTATGCACACTCAGCCGAATCACCCCAAGGCTGCTATTTTCCTTCATATATCCTGCTCAAACTCAAGTTCATCATAAAGTCAAAATCAAATTCATAATCTCATATGGATCATAAAGTCAAAATCAAATTCATAATCTCATATGCTATATGACTCTTAAATACATAATTTGGTTGTTAGAACCAATTTTTAACTAGTTATATATGTTACTTGTTAGGAAATATGGATCGAAAATGGATGTTTGCCAATCGAGCGTCAAAAGAATATGAAGCTGGAGTTCGTGAGTTCGTTAGGTTTGCTATTGCTCATGCTGAAGACACTAGTAAAATCATATACCCTTGCTTAGAATGTTGTTATACGGATGTTAGTGCAAATGTTTTGGAAGATCACTTAATATGTAATGGAATTGATAAAAGCTACACATGCTGGATAATGCACGGGGAAAAAAAAACCAAGTCCACAAAAAGGAGCAATGGGAGAGATTCATCAAATGATTTTGAAAAAGATACGAATTATGCGTTTGATCGAGTTGAAGAATTTGTCAATGTAATTGAGGAAGATCTTCGTGATTGTCCTCAAATGTTTGAGCGGATAGTAAGTGATGCAGAGACTCCGTTGTATGATGGATGTACTAAATTCACAAGACTGTCAACGGTCTTAAAGTTGTATAACTTAAAAGCACACCATGGATGGTCCGATAGGAGCTTCACAGACTTGTTGACTCTGTTAAAGGATATTTTGCCTGAGAACAACGTGCTCCCTAGTCGAACGTATGAGTCTAAACAATTGTTATATTCTATTGGCATGAGTTACGAGAAGATACATGCTTGTCCAAATGATTGCATTTTATTTCGCAAGGAGTATGCATCGTTGAATATGTGTCCTAAATGTAGTGCCCCACGCTATAAGAAGAAAGAAACAGCTCCAGCCAAAACGCTATGGTATTTTCTGATAATACCAAGATTTAGGCGCATGTATCATAATGCAGAAGACGCAAAGAACTTAACATGGCATGCAAATGAAAGGGTTGTTGATGGAATGCTCCGACATCCCGCAGATTCTCCTCAATGGGCAAAAATTGATCATGATTACCCAAATTTTGGGAAGGAAGAAAGAAACCTACGTCTTGCATTGTCTACTGACAGAATAAATCCTCATGGTATTCAAAGTAGTAAACTTACTTCTTGGCCAATCATTTTGTTGATTTATAACCTACCTCCATGGCTATTTATGAAGCGCAAATACACGATGTTGAGTATGTTAATTTCTGGGCCCAAGCAACCAGGAAATGATATAGATGTATACTTGGCTCCATTAATTGAAGATTTAAAGCATTTGTGGGAGACAGGTGTGGAGGTATATGATGAGTATAAAAAAGAATCCTTCAACTTGAGGGCTATGTTATTTGGAACAATCAATGATTTTCCTGCCTATGGGAATCTATCAGGCTACAGTGTCAAAGGAAAATTTGCATGCCCCATATGTGAAGATGGTACACATTCAATACGATTGGAGTATTGTATGAAGAATGTATTTCTTGGACACCGTAGATTTTTAAATACCAACCATCATTTTCGAAAATGGAGAAAAGCTTTTAATGGGGAATCAGAAGAAAATAGAGCTCCTTTGGCTTTGACGGGTGATCAATTATACCAAAAGGTAAAGCTTTTGAGCACTAATTTTGGAAAGCCATTTTCAAGTGAACTTGTAAAGGGAGGATGGAAAAAAAAGTCAATTTTCTTTGAATTGCCGTATTGGAAGTCACTGTATGTTAGACATTTCCTTGATGTGATGCATATAGAAAAAAATGTGTTTGAAAGTGTCGTTGGTACATTACTCAATCTTCCAGGAAAGTCTAAGGATGGCATTAATGCAAGGTTAGACCTGCAAACTATGGGATTAAGAAATGAGTTACAGCCGGTTAAGAGGGATGGGAAGCGTACATTTCTACCTCCAGCAGCTCATACTCTGTCAAGAAAAGAGAAAAAGATCTTGTGTAAGGTTCTTCACAATGTTAAAGTTCCAGAGGGCTACTCATCAAACATTAAGAGTTTGGTATCTATGAAAGATCTCAAATTGAAGGGTTTAAAGTCTCACGATTGTCATGTTTTAATGGAGAACTTTCTTCCAGTGGCTATACGTTCCATTTTACCTGAAAATGTGCGATGGACCATAACTAAACTTTGTTTTTTCTTCAAAGCTATTTGTAGCAAAGTTATTGACCCTGAGAAGTTACAGACGTTACAAAAGGAAATTGTTGTCACATTATGTGAGCTTGAGATGTATTTTCCACCCTCATTTTTTGACATAATGGTTCATCTTACAGTCCATCTTATAATGGAAACACAATATTGTGGACCAGCTTACATGAGGTGGATGTACCCGATTGAGCGTTACATGAAGATAATAAAAAGGTACGTGAAGAATCGAAGTCGACCAGATGGTTGTATTGTTGAACGATATTTAGTTGAAGAAGCCATTGAGTTTTGTACTGAATACCTCTCTAATATTGAGCCCATAGGTATTCCAATGTCACGACACTCTGGAAAAACAACAGGGGAAGGGATTGGTGCAAGTAAACTAGTAACCATGTCAGACATCGAATTGGAGCAATCACACTTGTATGTTCTACACAATGCTGATGAGGTTGAGCCATATGTTGAAAAGCACAAAGAAATACTTCAAAGTTTGAACCCTAATAAGAGTGAAAATTGGTTAACAAGAGAACACAATCGAAGTTTTATACCGTGGCTAAAAGAACACATTTTTTCAGAATTTGCTAAAAATCCTGATTCAATTTCAGAAAGATTGAGATGGCTAGCAAATGGTCCAAATTCAAATGTTCTATCGTACTCTGGTTATATAATTAACAAGTATACATTTTATACAGAAGAACATGATCATCAAAGCACTGTGCAAAATAGCGGTGTCACACTCGTAGCTGAATCTGTGCATATCTCAAGTTCCAAAAATAGAAATCCCGCATTTTCCAAATTGTCATATTTTGGGGTCATTGAACGTATTTGGGAATTGGATTACTCATGCTTTCAAGTGCCCGTGTTTGGTTGCAAGTGGGTTGACAATAACAATGGCCTTCAAGTTGACCCTGGGTTCATGAAGGTCGATCTTAATAAAGTAGGGTATAAAGACGAGCCTTTTATTTTAGCATCACAAGCTCACCAAGTGTTCTATGTCACTGATCCTGCTGATGAAAAGTGGTCTATTGTGTTTCTAAGTAACAAAATAAATGATCACACCACTCCAAATATAGATGTTGAGGATGACCCTTTCTTTAATACTTCACAATCCCTTGAGTCTGAATCAATTATAGATGATATTCTTTATATGAGAAACGATCACAGTGATGGGATTTGGATCAATCCATCATTTTATGTAACTAGAAAACAGAAAAGTAGGAATCCAACTACAAGGAAGAGGAAAAGGCCGACTTAATCTTGTATGGTTTATTTATTTGTTTTTCATTTTTTTATTGTTATTGCTTCTTAATGTTATTCTTGTATGGTATATAACTTTTTAAATTTTTATAGGTGAAATATGGCTTCTATTGATGATGAAAGTGGTTCGTCTAGTAAGAAAACAGTTGGTAAACGTGGTGTGACCCGATTGCAAAAAATTCACAAAGCCAAAAGCAATGGAAAGAGAATTGAGGTAAAATAGCTAGAGTTTTATGATACTGTTTACTCTCTTGGCAATTTTCCTTTTACTGAACTATGTATGAGTGATGGTTACATACATGATTATCTTTTATGAGTAAGTTGTTTGAAACTATTTGAATGTTAAACACTATTAGTGAGACTGTTGATTCTTTATTTGCACTTTAATTTTGTTATAGGTTCAATGGAATTCCAGAGGTCAACCAATCAAGCATAATAGCAAGACTTTTGCTAGTTTCATTGGTGTCACAGTTCGTCGGTTAGTTCCAATAAGCTTGGACAATTGGAGCGCGAAAAAAAATAAAGAGGCTGTGGGGGTTTATAAACAAAACATTTGGGATGAAATTGAAGTAACACACTAACTTAAGCTAGTTGTAAAATTTTAATTTCGTTAATCTATCGATTGGGATGTTTAAATAAACTGAACTATGTTTTAATAAACTGAATTATTTGCAGAAAGCTTTTATAATTGGCGAGGAACATCGTGCCTTTGTATATAGAGAAGCTGGAAAGTTGCACAGGGCATTCAGAACAAAAATGGCGAGGTCATATCTAAAAGATAGTAAGGGTGGTTTTGTTAAACATCGTCCGGCCAAATATTCTTTTTGTATAAAACAAGATGATTGGGATAAATTTGTAGCCCAACATATGACTGCAAAGTTTCAGGTAATACTTTTATCACTTGGATATGGATCCTTAAAGTTTTGCATGATTATAGTATTAGTGATAGTGTTGTGGGATGCATTTTTTATAATAAATGCAGAAAGTTAGTGATGAGAATCGAGAAAGAGCGTTAAATCCTCAACATCCCTATAGAAAGTCACGTTTAGGGTGTGCTCGTCTTGAAGTTGATATGGTAAGTATGTGTATAAATGTACTATACAATATTATAAAAAAATTTAATTGCTATGTTAATTTGTAAAAATGTATATACAGGTAGAAGAGTCAGAAGTTGGTGAGATAAACTGTAGTCAAGTGTGGAAGGCTGCCCGCGTCAATAAGAGCGGGGTGATTGATAATGAGAATGTTCAAAGAGTTGTGGATCAATGTGTAAGTCGAATTTTAGATGTGACACTATAGATGTTATTTCCAAAATGCTCACATTATAGATGTGACACTTTTTCTATACTCATCATTGTTACCGAATTTGTATTTTGTTAGTTAGTTTGAAGTCATTAAACTCGATTTTCCTTAATTAATTGAGTCTTTGTGTCTTATTTTGATAGAATAGCCATTAATTGCAACTTGTATCTAACTATTGGTTATTTCTTTTATACTTATCAATGTCAGGAGAAGTTAACAGAAGCTCTATCTGAAGAAGAGAGACAAGACCTTGGTCCCACAAACATATTATTTGAGGCTCTTAATCTCCCAAACTACTCTGGACATGTTAGGACTTATGGTTTTGGGGTATGTTCTAGGGACATATTACCACGCCAAAATCGCCCCACACAAATGGATTTTGAAAAATTGTATGGCTTTTGTAATTCACTCAAAAGTAGATTGGAGGTGCTAGAGAGAGAAAAGATTGAGAGAGATAAGTTGGATAGAGAGAAGCTAGAGAGGCAACAAACTGAAGAAGTGGAAGAAAGGCAACAACCTAAACAAGTGTCAGAGAGGTTGCAACAACCTGAAAAAGTGGCACAGAGGCAACACCTTGAACAAGTGGTAGAAAGGAAACAACCAGAAAAAGTAGCTGAGAGTCGACTACCTAGTGATAAAGGTTCTTGCAACCCTGGATCATTTGGAAACATTCCCGAGGTAATTGGTTTCTTTATTATCTCTCAAATTCGATATGTTTGTTCTTTCAATAATGATGTTAATATTTTTATTCATATCTTATTGGTTTAGGGTCTCTTTCCTGTTAATATATATTTATCCTCCCCGAGTCGTTGTTTGGTTGCTCGTGGAAAACTATATAACACCAAAGGTAACACGGTACATGGCATGACGTTACCACCTGGATATGTCAAGGTTAATATCGAAGTTGCTATTGTGCCAAATGCCCCATTGCCTATATCTGTTGAAGATGGAGATGTATCCATGGTTGGTCAAGCAATAGGAACAATTGTGCCATGGCCAACGAAACTTCTTGAATTTGTTGCTGAATGTGAAAAGGTAAATTACTTATAATCAAGTTGCTTGATCGCTACTTGTTTTATTATTTGATCACTAATATTAATTAATACAACTTTTTAGATTCCTGGTCAATCCCAAAACAAAGGTAACAATATTCAACACAGTGTTGAATATTCAGTTTCATCACCCAACAAAAGTAACAAAAAATTCAAAATCGAAGAGTCTCCTAGAGTTGGCGGTTCAGCTGGTATTGCAAATTTACCTTTCCTTGATATGTATGTGAAAAAGATGATGAGGGTTGGATCATTAATTCAAATAAAAATGGAGGAAAGTATATTTGGTGAGGAGTTTTTAGAGCAACTACGTGTAGAGAGTATAAAGGAGATTCTTGATCACAATTGGTTAAGTGCATCTATTATCACTGTATTTTCCAGGTACCTATATTATTACAAATATTCTCTTATTTGACAAATATATTATTAATATTAATGTTATTTGTATTGTTGACTAATATTCACATTGGTGACAAATATATTAATATCAATTGTTGTTCATTTCTAGGTATTTGTATGACAAGTTTATTAGTCCAAATGGATTAATAAATAAGTTCTCTTTCATATCTCCACATGTATCACGGGAGGATAATCTAGGAAATGGTATAGCAAAAATACTTTTGAAAGATGAGGAGTTCAAGGATAAGATGATTCTTGCACCTTGTAATCTAGGGTGAGATTTATATTCAAAAAGTTATTAAATTAACGAGAAAAAACTCTAATGAATGTGAATCTTTAATTCAATATTTAAATGTTGGGTGCAGGAAACATTGGGTGTTGCTTGTCATCAATCTCAATGCTGAGGTGATATATTACATGGATCCGTTGAATGGTGAGCCAACAAAACATCAAAATTTTAAAACAAAGTTTGAGAAGTGAGTATAGACTCTTTTAATTTAAAATTTATGTACGTATTATTATTTATATAATTACTCATTTGAAGTTAATTTCATTTTGTTAGCGCTTTGCAAATTTATCGTGCTAATAGTAGTTCTAAAGTGCCTAAAGTGTCAAAGTCAAAGAAAATCTCATGGCAAAAAATAAAGGTATGTGTCTAAATTAATGTTATTTTAAAACAATTATGTGGAGTAAAATTAATCTATATAAATTTTTTTTTTGTAGTGTCCTCGTCAAATTAATGGCGTTGATTGTGGATACTTTGTAATGCGATTTATGAAAGAGGTCATCATGGAAAATGAATTTATGATCCCCACAAATGTACGTGATTTTAATTATTATTATTATTCTTTTGTAAATTAAATTAATATAATTTAATTCTAACACGATTAATTGTTGATGTTTTCATATTTGAAGTACTTTTTTGACCACAAATGTCGTACCTACTCTCATGATAAGTTAACTGAGGTTAAGGAGGATTGGGCTACTTATGTGGTGGATGATGTTTTCGGTGAGTTTTTCCTTGACTTGATACTTGATAAACAAGACAAATATTACTCATGGATTTAGAGTTCAAATGTTTTGACTTAGATGTTTAATTTTAATTTTTGAGTTGGATTTAGAGTTGTCATATAAATGATTTTAGTATTTTATTGGTTTAGAAGATATGGCACAGAGGTACTGAGTGTTCTTTCTTGGTCTCGAATTTAAATTTTGAAATAGGAAAATACGGAAAAATGACTTATATCTTATTGTATGATTGATTTATAGTTTTCCGTTTCTACTTGAAATTTTTAGATATTCGTAGTAACAATTGTAAGGTGTTTGATATCTAGTTCTGGATCATGAAAAGAAAGTTACACACAATTAAGTGTTTATGTATATTTTGAGAATTTGAATTATATTCTGTTTAGTGTTTATATGCATCTAATAATGGAAATTGTGGTCTATATATTTACAAGTCATGTTCTTGTTAGACTTAATTAGTTCAATTATTGCATTAGTTATATCGATTTATTGTTATTAGTTTATAATAATCATTCCTTATTATATGCGCTTCTTGTTAGACCCATATTAAATGTTTGATTATTCTTTATATGTTGAATTAGTTTTTATTGTACAATACATAATCAATATTCCTTCTATGATACAGGAAAACAAGAAGCAATTATTTTGCCTAATTAGTGATTGTATCTATGAGTTCAACGCTTTTGGATCATGAAGGTGGTTACTACATGGGATTGTTTTGTTATCCTTTCTTATTTTTTTGGTGTTTTGTTTAGAGAATTTGATTGTATGTTTTTGGATTTGGATTGAAGTACTCATAGATGGGCATCTACAAATTTGGCTATGCAAACGCCCTCTTAATATTCTATATGTTATGATATTTGGAAACAATAGGATTTGGTAATTTAAAATGTTATTTGGTATTTGATGGATCATAATATATATGCAATGAGTAACTTAAAGCGTTATTTGTGTTGAATTGAATATAGTTATTTTATATTTACACCAAAAAAAATGATTGTATAAGAAAAAATATTGTACTGTACTTATTAAAAATATTGTACCAAATATGTACCATTTATTAGCACTTTATTTGAAAGTGCTATCAAACATATGTTATATATTAGCGCTTTTTGTTTAGAGTGCTATAAAAAAACAAACAAAAAACATGCAAAATACTGACTTTGATAGCACTTTAATTAAAACGCTATTATAAATTGGTACTTTAATAGCGCTTTTAAAGTGCTATTAAATAAGAAATATTTACAATAGTGGCGCGGTTAATAGCACTTTTAAGCGCTATCAAAAACAAAAAAAAGCGCTATTAAATAGCTTATTTGGCGTAGTGTTAGCCACCTCTTTCTACCATCAATACCAGTATAATGCCGACTTGGCGCCGACAAGAGTTCAGTTGCAAGACATGACAATGGGGAAGAATGAAGGGTTCAAAGAGTACGCTCAAAAGTGGAGGGACCTTGCCAATAGGGTTCAGCCACCTTTGACTTATAGGGAGAACATTGACATGTTTATGGGCACTTTATCTGATCCGTTTTTCAACTTGTTGGTTGGTTGTTCTTCATCCGGTTTCACCGAGCTAATCTTAACCGGTGAAAGGGTTGAAAGAAGCATCAAAAGCGGGAAGATTCCCATAGCATCTGCCTCAACTTCCAACCCCGTAAGTAAACCCTTTACCGGGAAGAAAGAAACCAATGTTGTGTATGGGGCAAGGGCCCGTACCAAGAAGGATGACCGTCCGTCCGTTAATGTTTTCTGAATTTCTAATCTAACTCCTGCTCAAAGACCATCTTCCAATCATCAACGATTTCAGGCTCCACCAAGATAATTCACAAGGATAGGCATGTCATTATCCCAAGCCTTACAACACCTTTTAATGGCTAATTTGGTGACACTGCATGATCCTCCGAAAAATCCAGATACCTCTTCACCCAAATACAATCCGAATTCCAAGTGTGCATATCACTCGAATAGTCTCGGGCATGAGACTGACCAATGCTGGGCACTGAAGAATAAAATTCAAGAATTAATAGACAAAAAGACCATTGAATTTGATCCTCCTCCAACTCCGAATGTAATCACCACTCCTATGCCAAATCATGGCAATGGTGTCAATGCTTTTGAAGATACCATTTTTGTTTCCTCCGTCGAAGACTTGACTACTCTGTTAACCACTATAAAAGTGAATTTGTTGAAAGCTGAAATTTTCCCTAGCTGTTTGAAGGATTGCGATTGTTGTGCCATACAACTCAATGGATGCAAAGGGATGAAGGAAGGCATTCAACGCTTGATGAATAGCCCTGAGATCCTATTTGAGAAGACTTCGTCCGCCAAAATTTTAACCAATAAGATTGAAGACCTGTTCATCATAACTATCTCAAACAAGCCTCTTAGGATCTTCTCCAAGGGTCCTATCAGGATTTCAAATGACCCGACTATTACTCCTCTGATAATTACCGCCCCCGGGCCAATTCCATACTCTTCCAACAAAACAGTGCCATGGAACTATGGTGCTGAGGTGTTTTACCATGGTATAAAGCAAGACGCTTAGATTGAAGAAAGCAAAGCTGATGACGTTGGTAACATTACTGGTTCTAGTAAGGTGACTAGAACAAGGAGAATCTTTTCACCCAACATCTCACCACCAACAACTACAAAGGTACCTGTCCGCATCACCGCTGCTAAGCCAAGTACTGACACAAGGGGAAAAGAGAAAGTAGTTGAGCCCGTTGAGACAGAGATACCATAAAAGACATTGCTGATGGGGAACCTTCCGCTCAAGAAATGGATGAGATATTGAAAATTATAAAAAGGAGTGATTTCAAGATTGTGGAGCAGTTGGGGAAAACCCCTTCCAAGATTTCTATGTTATCTTTACTACTCTATTCCGATGCTCATGCTCGGGCGTTAATCAAATTCTTGAAGAAGGCTCATGTCCCTCATGAGACCATAATAGACCAGTTTGAAAATTGTGTGGCAAGCTTGATGGGCGACAATGGTTTGGGTTTCTCGGATGCTGATCTGACACCACTTGGAAAGAACCATAACAAAACTCTACATGTTTCAGTTGAATGTAAGGGGACTACCCTAGCACATGTTCTAGTTGACACTAGATCTTCTTTTAACGTGCTACCCAAGGGAGCTTTGGAACGTTTAGACTGTGAAGGACTAGTTTTGAAACCAAGTGTTATTATTGTGAGGGCTTTCGATGGGTCCAAAAGGACAATTCATGGAGAGGTGGATCTCCCGATCAAGGTGGGCTCACATATTTTCAACTGTACTTTCTACATCATGGATATCCGTCCTGCCTACTCCTATTTGTTGGGTCTCCCTTGGATCCATGGAGAAGGGGAAGTAACATCAACTCTTTATCAAAATCTCAAGTATCCATTCAAAGGAAGGATTGCCACTGTCTGTGGTGAGGAGGAATTCATGGTAAGCCACATCAACTCTTTCAAATATGTGGAGATGGATGGAAAATTTATAGAAACCCCGTTTCAGGCTTTTGAAGTTATGCCACCAATGATTGCTATTTCCAAATGTTCCTCAGATGTGTTAAAAGTTGTTAAGGTCGTGCCAAAGGTGGTTTCATTTAAAGATGCTCGTGATGCACTCGAAGAAGGAAGATGTGATACTTGGGGGAAAATCCTCGAGATCCCATTCAATGCAGATAAATATGGTTGGGGTTTCACTATCAAGGCTCAGAAAGAAGTGAGGTGCGCTCGTGCAGGGAAGCCCCCTCTCTATATTAGAAGTCATGAGGTTAACGCTCTAGGTGATTTTGATGATGAAGGTGCATTTGAAGATTGGGTATATCCTACTACAACAAAGCTCAACAATTGGCACCCAAAGGACTTCGTTCCCATCTCCTTCATTGAGGAGTAATCACTTCTTTATTGCTTTCTTTTAATTCAAGAACATTTTGTCTGTAATATTAAACAATGACTTTTAAGCCATGTGCCTGGCCCAGGTCACTATGGTCCATTTGTCAAGGGTTTTATTTATGTTCATGTTATCATATGATCATTTAATACAAACCATTCTTCAATACATTTGTCAAAATAGCCATGTGTCTTACATGCACACACACATACTCTTGCAGGTCCTCATCCACTCTGGATCTCATTGCCAATGACTCTACTACGGATGACTATGACTTCGAACATCCAATTAACCAAGCCGAAGACGAAGGCGAGGAAGATTGTGAAATACCGGGAGAACTATCCAAACTTCTATTACAAGAGGAAAAAGCTATTCAGCCGCACGAAGAGTCAGTTGAAGTCATCAATCTAGGTACCGAGACAGACAAGAAATAAGTCAAGATCGATGCTAACCTAAAATGCCGTGTCAAGAGCAGGTTGGTTCATATGTTGCATGACTATGTGGAAGTGTTTGCTTGGTCCTATGAAGATATGCCAGGGTTGGATACCGACATTGTAGTTCATCGTCTGCCGAAAAAG